GGACAAAACAGTGAGTGTATCCAAATATACAAGAGTATATACTTCATAAAATATTTAGTTTTACTTTATCTGCTACTTAGAAGCTAACAAAAGATACGATACTCAATTGTTTTTGTGACTATTAAATAGACATTTGATGGGTGGGGCTTGAGAATATATTCCTTCAATAGGGCACTGCATTTTCTGTCAGTCTTTCTTAACTGCAGATGAAGTTGGAGTTTGAAGAAAATATTTAAATGTGATGTTAGCATTATGCATAACCCAGCAGAATTGTATTGAATTATGGGAGAAATTTGTAAATCTTGCTGAGTACTTAGGTGCATTTTGGTAATATGTCAAAGTTTTGATTATATAACTGTGAATGAAGAGAAAGCTCTCAGTGTGTTATAGTGGTTAGAGTGTTGGAATGGGATTCAGGAGATGGGTGTTCTGTCCCTGCTTGGCTATGCGGTTCAGTGGGTGATTTTGGGACAGTCACTGACTCAGACTAACATACCTCAGAAGATTATTGTGAAGATAAAATGGAGGAGAGTATGTACACTGCCATGGAGGAGAGGATGAATACAAATATTAGCACATAAATGAATCAATATTGCTCCCAAGCACCTAAAAGCTGTTCAATTTATTTTACCAATTTACTTCTTTAGGAAAGTATGATAATAACAACAATGAAAATGCCTATATAGTAATAGCTGCCAGGCCTTATAACCTATGGAGTATAGAGATTCCTCTGTTATATGGCAAAGATCCCCCTGTAGCCACTCTGTGGACCTGGCTGAAAGCAGGCTTCAGAAATAAGATCATCATTCTGAGACCCTCAGTACGGAAAGTAAATTGTCAAATTCTAATGTGATTCTTCCACTATCAACTTCCACCAAAAACAAACAAAACTGCTTTTAAACACAATTCTTTCTAAACTCCTGTCTTGTCAGTTCCAGAGTGGGTAGTGGGGGACAAGAGAAACAAGTAACTTATCAGAGATGGGATTTCAGGACAGAAGCCGGCTCCCAAGCAAAGATTATTAAACTGGCAATTAGTTAGAAACTTACAGCAGAATCTAATTTTCTTTACCAAGATGCTAAACATGTGCTTGCAAAGTATATCAGCAAATTCAACATCCAACAAGGAACTTTTTGTCCCCTTCAACATAGTGACTTTATACATAATTGGACAAATGCTTTCCCCTTAAGCGCAAAGCTACATAGGATCCCGAAGCAAGCAGCATCGGGAAAGACCCAACCACCACTTCCTGGCAATTATGACTGTCTAGCAACTGTGCCTGATCTAAATATTTGTTGGAAGTTCTTTGTTACCAAAAAACAAAAACCCCTTACGGGTGGATTTTCAGGTGAAAAAAACTAATAAGTACACATCTGAAATTGCTGACTCTCAAAAACTGCTACAGAGCTTTGTCCTTATGTATATAAAACATATTTAAATTACTTCATGAATTTACCTGTTTAAGACAGGATAATTTCCCCTGCATATTACCAGGCAGTTTCTTCACAATATAAACCATTTCAGCACAAGGACAGAAACATGCAAATCTGTATAACTTTCAGCAATGCATTCATTTTCAGGAATGAAAGTTGCTCTTGCCCCTGTATCCTTATAGGTAAATCTGTCTATGTGGGGGTCTCTTTTGTACAGAAAAAGGAAATTAAATGCCTTGTTTAAAATACAAAAAAGATGTAAAAACCCTACACAACTAACTACATAATCCATTTGTCTGAGAACAGGGCTCCATGAATATTTCACAAAGGTCACATTTTTCATTTGGCTTATGGAACACTTATAAACCAGGAGTCCTAACTATGACTCTCTAGTACAGAACAATGTCAAAGGTTAGAGTGTGTTTTTCTTTTGCCCTCACTAAATTACTTGCAAATGTATTCAAACACAATATGAGAACATATTTTATTTTACTGAAAATAACAGACTGCACTTGCCTGAAAGAAAAGCTGAGGTTCATCAAGCATAAACATGGGGAAAAATACATTGGTTTAGAAACCCATAAATCCTTATTTGAATCTGCCAACCTGAAAGTGAAGTAAAGCCCGAAAAAACTATTTTTCTTAAATGCTATGTCTGATTAAGCCATACTATTAAGTGACAGCTGAACTTTAACATTAATATGATATTATTTAAATAACTGTATGACTTTTTTTACACTAAAAATGATGAATGATTTTTGGACAGCTCAATTGACATAAAGCAAGAAAACCCTTTAATGAGATTTGACAAAATGGAGACATATGCAGAATATTCGTTACAGCTCATGTCGCAGGGCTCTTCCTGGGGAGGATATAGGTTTGCCCATGGAGTTTTTTTATTATTATTTTGATTGTCTACAGGCGCTGAACCATCTCTTTCAATTGCTGCTTCCTTTCTCCACGGATTTTGAATTTAGCTTGTGTCATTTACATATTACTCTTAATCAGAGAATTTTGTATGCTACGGTTCAGAGTCTGAATTGTGAGAAGTTTATGAATTGGAAGCAAGGGTGCCGTTATCTCAACCTTTGTCAGCTGAATATACAAGTAAGTAAAAAACAAAACAAACCCCAGGTATTTTCATGAAAAGATTAAGGTCTGATATATATCTTAAATCACTTTGTGTGCAGCTATCACCACATGGCAAACTGCTCATGTGCAGTAACTCACCTTATGCATCAAGCAATTTTCTCCATGTCACCACATAACCTTTGCCCGTTAGCAACAGCATGGAAACAACTGGCTGAACTTTGTGGTAGGCAGCTGCACACAAATTACGTGCAACGTGAGGAGGGCTAAAATGGCCTCTGAAGGATAGCAGTAGCATGTTCTGGTCCTTGAAAAGTTATTATGCACTTAAGAGTAACATTAATTTGTTTGTGAACAGTTTTCAAGGATGGGCAAACATATTTATTAAAGTGTTTTAAACCATACTTAATTTCACAGATATTTCAAGAAGAGTCCTGAAAATTCAAAATTCTATCTTTAGATTGGACATTTAGAGTTTGGACAGCCTTACGAAGAAGCCAAGTAATATATACATCCTCTGAAGTCTTACACAAACTTGGTGAAATAGAATGGCACACTTTTTTAAAGCAAGTCAAATATGATGTTTATGGATAATTAGCCAAACTATGTCATTAAGTAAAGTTATGAGGCAAACGTGTGTACATTTAACTGTGATTGGTTTATTTTTTTATATTTTCCAAGCAGAACAGAAATCATGTTTATGAGGAATTTTGCGATGTACCACCCCCATTGCAGGTTAACAATGAGTTTGGATGATAAAGCATTTAACACAAAGCCTTACTTAGATGTTTGCTAGATCTAACACTAATGATGTCAAATATGCTCAGCAGTAAACAGTTCACAGAAAACTCTTTCGGAGCCTAGGGTTTTTCAGGTCCTGGATGTTGGTAGTCAGGATACGAATTTGCATGGTAAGAAGTCAAGGCTGACATTTCACAGGACAAACCCAGTTATGTCCAGTCAGATAGATTCATATTTCATGTAAGAAGCAGATATAATTACTTTTCAGAGACATCCATACCAAGTATGAAGTAGAAATGTAGCATGCAGTTTTAGATGCAGTAAATGTGTTTTGGGGACTAGAGACTTATTGGCTGTTTCAGTGTTTATTCAGGGCATGCATTTTCATGTTTATAAAGCAATTCTCCATAATTTAAGGTGTTTAGTGCTGTGCATGTGCCAGGTAAAGCATGAATCAGGCCACTCATGTTGGACTCAAGACTAGGACAAATTTTAATTTAATTACAATATTTATATCCCATCCTTTACAAAACATCCCGAGATGGCTTAAAACATCCCAGGACGGCTTACTATCCAGAGGTAAGTCTGCCTAACAGATAAGTGGCTTATAGGACCATTAAACATACTCTAATTTCTTGGATCACAGATATTTATTTCTGAACTGACAAGGGCAGTCTGTACTTTATTTCTACAACAGTACTGTTTCCTGACAGATTAATTCAAGGTTGTGTTGTGTTTCACCTTAAGCCATTATTTTCGTCACTAGTTGCCTTAAATCTGGATTCTGGCATTTTACTTCATCCCTGTCTTGCTGTCTTTTTTACCTTCCAGCACACTTCCCAGCTTGACTGAGCAGTGTCTGAATAATTCCTGGCTAAAGGGACTGCTTAATTTTTCTCTTCATTGATACTTTGATAGTTTGCCAAGGGTTCCAACCACGTATCTCAGGTAAATGAATCCTTCTTTGTCTTATGCATTGAAAATATTCTTGCCTCAGTTCATATGTATCTCTAATCTTTTGTTCATATCTTTCATGGTATTTGAATATTCACACATGGAACTACAACTATTCTTGATGGGAATTTCTGTTTTAAAATGGTATTCACGCAGTTTTTCTCTCACAAAAACTTCTTGAGTAATGGGGGAAAATGAAAAGTTGGAAATTATCCTCATGAATATTTTTTCACAGCATAATAATTTATAAAACAATGACAGACAGCACATATACAGGAAGCTCTGTTCAAAATTACCCAGGAAATTAGACAATTTCTGTGGTTCCTGCATTTTGTGTGTATGTTAAAAAAATGAAGGAAACATGCATATAAGGGTTTGTTCTCCACTCAGGTTGCATATATATGCTTGCTGGATCTTCATATGGCATAATGGACCTCTATCCTTCAGTACATTCAGGCACTGTATCAGGTCATTATGGCAAATAGAAAATGTATATACTTCATATATTCCAATGCACCCTGCCTCTTATTGCTCAGTGAGAGAGTTCAAAACTTGTGTTCCTTGATCTAGTGGAGTATGGAGGGCAAGTGCTTGGGAGGTCTGTACCCACGTGATACATTCTGCTAACAGCAGAAATCCTGAGTGGGAGCTGCTAAAAGAAACTGCTGCCATTATCTGCAGGCACTGCACCAGCATGGGGAGAAAGCTAAAAACTGTATTTAACTTGCAATCTATATATGAAAGAAAGAAAAAGAAATAGAGGGTTCCCTACCTTGCCCTTACCTTCGTAACATTCCTGTAAGGATCCTTGAACTCTTGCCCAAATTTGCATCTGTTTCCCTGAGCTGTAAAGAAAAAAGTATTGTAAGCTTGCAAATGGCCTAAAACATAAAATATTTATATCTAAAAACAAAACAAAACAAATATGTATTGCCTATTATGGTGTGTTATATTATGGTTCTTTGCAGTTTAAAGTGGATATAGGATGGAGGGTCTATCTCCTCTGGGAAAAGCATTTCAGTTTCTCCTTCAACATGGCTGTTACATTTTCTTTTATACACCCTGCAAGGTATCAGATTAAGATAATTTTTTGACCTAGCAGGGGGAAAACAGAAAGAAAATGAATTCCAGGTTGCTAGAATGGTACTGGAAAAACAAATTAGATACAAAATTTTAAAATCAGAAAAATAGTGTAAGGAAAAACCACAGCAAAAATAAAAGAGAAAATATAAAAAGTTCCTAGAAAGGGATGGCAAACAGAGACCCTTCAGAATAATTAGGGGTCCAAGAGAAATTAAATAACACACATTTATAAAGGTATAGATTTTATAATGCAAATGACTCATCTTCAGACTTCTCATGACTATTTTAGAGCTTTTCTAGATGAGACGTTTATTATATGCTTGTGCTTCCTTACTCATGGTGGTTTATGGGTTCTTCAGACAACATCATGATCTTCCAATTTATCTTTTTCCCCAGATCACTTTCCTGATACTTTTTAGGATGGGAAAATGTAGTATTAGAGTGAGGAAAACAGTTTTTTCTGCATTTGAGCTAGTCCACTATAGCACAGCTCCACCTAGAGGTTTGTCATTATATGCTTCCAAAATGTCCTGTCTGACAGCCATGCTCAGCTCCTATAAACTGCAATATGTGATTTCTTTTATGGAATCAATCTATCTCATAGTTGATCTTCCTCTTCTTCTGCCTTCAACTCTCCCTAGCATTATTGCCTCCTCCAGTAAATCTTGCCTTCTCGTGGTGTGCCTAAAGTACAGCAGCTCCAGTTTCATTAATTTTGCTTCAAGGGATCTGGCTTGATTTGATCTAGTACCTACTTGTTTGTTTAGAGGTGAAGTAATGGAAAACAGAAAAGGAAAAGGTCTATGTAGTGCTCAGATCTCAATGCTGTGACAAAACAAAAAGTAGATACTGCAGTTAGCAATCTCATCTAGAAAAAGCCTTACTCTGTGTGTGAATCCCTTCACATTTTTCAGTAAGCAATCAAAGCAGCAGTGGATGTGTCAAAACATGAATCAGCAAAAAAAGCTAAATTAATGAGCATATACTATGAGCAGGTTTTCAGCCTCAGAACCTGTTTTTAGTGCCAGGTACTCACAACAGAAAATATGATATGACATAGTAGTAGTAGTAATAGTAGTAGTAGTAATAATAATAATAGTTGCTGTGGGCTCTGGCATTTCTCTGAACACTGATTAACAAGTAGTATCCATTATTTTCCTGTTTGGAATTGGGCAGGACATCCAGTTTAGACTTTCTGGCATTAAGAAAGTATTAGTGCCAGCACCATTACTGAATTTAATCACTGATGATTGTAGTTCATAGGCCAGAATATATATTTAAAAAAAAAACAACAGACAAAAGAAAATCGTAATTTTCAAAGAGTTGATTCTGCCTGAACAAGTAATAATCTCATAATATAATAAACTTCAGACTACTGATGATTCAGGAGAGGAAAAAGTTGAAATCTATGTAAGATACCAGGGAATGAAAGCTTCGGATGACCAAATAACAAATTATTGTTCTATTACCAATACACCACAGTGTTCTAGAAGGTTAGGGTTCACCTTTATCCTAAGTGAGATACTGATTAATAGATCTGACAATGATCTGGTGAGTGACTGGTAGGGTTGCTAAGCCTTTACTGCATAGCAACAGGAAGATAGTGAGCTATGATTTTTTTGTGAACCACTCTTCCACCGGCCTGGTTGTTGAAACTCCACCCCTGTTTTACTCTGTGTTCCTAATGAATTTATACTCCGAGGTGTTTGAACAGGGTGTATGAAATGTAAGCTCATTGCAAAGTATTTTGTCAGTCTGTTCTTCCTTTATATCGGATTATTGTTGATGACAGGAAAGATCACCTTGGACAAACTACCCCAAAACTTGCCCACAATTAAGAGTTTGAAAAAACTGAAGTTATCCTTCCAAACAATCTCCCCCACAATCTCTTCCTGTGCCTATACAAACTAATAGAGTGAAACCAGTCCTCAGCAGGGGGGTCCCACCATTGCCCTGGCAGGTCCCTTTTCCCATCTCCATATGGAAGCCAGTATAGTGAAGCTAATTCATCAGCTTGTACAAGATGGAAGAAGAAAACGCTGCAGGAATGAAGCCTTATTTTTTTTTTTTTTGTTAAGAGGTATTGAAATATGAACTAGGGAAGCTTTTGTTTTTTCAAGCTTCCTTCTTTTTGAGGTGAGCTTTAATGAGTACCTGAAGTTTTTTTTGTTTTGTTTCCCCCCCTAAGTCTAACAAAAAACAATTTCACCAACAGCATTTCTAATTATTGTTTATTAAATTTTAGCTGATTTGTTATTATAGCAAAAATGTTCATTGATTTGGCCAGTTTTCAGGTAAATAGAAGGTGACCTATACTGAGTCACAGCCCTAGTCTATCTGGCTCAGCATTGTCAAAATTGGTAGGAAGTGAATGTCCAAGATTTCCAAGGAGTCTTTCAAAGTCTTTCAAAGCCCTACCTCTAGACTGAATGTGCGATCTTTAGCAGAAATCAACTGAGCAACTGTATAAATATTTTTAAAGCAGCTTTTCTCTTATTTTGTAAGCTCATTGCTATAGGTGTGGATTCAGAATGTTTCATAGTAAATCTAGGTATTTCCAGATAAAAGAGCTTGGAAAGACCAGTATATGAAACCTTAGATATGAACTTCAATTTTTATGAATGAATGCCATCTTGCTGTGTAAATAAAATATATGAAAATATATGAAACAATTCCACTTCTATCAGCTTTGCAGAAAGAATAGTGCTAGTCACTTGCAAATTTAACATTAAGAGGGATAATGAACTAGCTATGCTGTACAGTGGTGAGAGTGCTGGACTAGGACTCAAGAAATCCGGGTTCTAGTCCCCATTTAAGCATGAAACTCAGTGGGCAAGTCTGGGCCAGTCACTGACTCTCATACTAATCTACTTCACAGAGTTGTTGTGAAGATAAAATAGACAGGAGAAGGACTATATAAACTGCCTTGGGAACCTCACAAGAGGGGAAAAAAGCTAGGCTATGAATGCAATGTATAGTAATTAAATGAATAAATTGCTCCATATAGCACTTCAAACAAATAGAACTTACTCTTTCTCGAGCACGCTGAATCTTCTCTCTGTCATGGCTGAGGTTTTCCAATATGTCTTGACCAATTTGTTCTGCATGGAAACAAAAAAGAAAAATAAGAAACCCCTCAAAATTGTGAAAAATAGAGAATACCATTGCCAAGTGCAAAATCTAACTAATATATTACCAAAGTCTTCACTGAAATATCTCCAATATACCCTGAATTTGGAAATGTTAAGCAAGAATTGTTTGAAAATGTCATAAAGTTGGAAAAACTAGCCATCAACAAGAACTTGAAAATGCTTGCAGAACCAAAAGCAAAACTGAAAAACAGGGGAAAATACTAATTGTATGGATTAACTTACAATTATAAGTTAAGTTATAGTCTTCTGCATGTTTTGATCCACAATTGTCATCATATTTAGCCAGCATAGGAATAATAAAGAATGAAAGAAGTTGTATCTCACAACTGTATTAGAAGGACCAAAAGCATCCTGCGTAAGAGTTCTGTGCAAACACAGGGGTTTTTTAGCTCCCTTTTCTGGCAGCAAGCCCTATTCCTGAAAAGCTTCTATGAATTCTGGGTCTTCATCACATAAAGGGAACTGCCCTTAATGTAGCACCCATAGGACAGGGCTGCATAACCTCTTGCCCTCATGCCTAATATATCCCATGGTACCTCCTGGTAGTCCTCCAGGGAGGAAGACTGAGGTCAGCAGTAAGGATGTAGACAATGGGTTATACTGGAATGGTCCTGGCACAAGCCTAGTAGTATTCAACAGTGCTGGGATTCATGCAAAATGGGTGGGATTTATCCTGCACTGGAAAGGGTAGCTTTTAGCTACATAAGTAATGCCACCCAAAGCTTGTCTATAAGACATATTAAAACCAAAACTGAGCTCTTGGAGGCTCATGATTAACTTGAGAACAGGAGGGAAATTTCAGTGGATTTCTAAAATTCTACTTATAAATTTTTGCTGCTGGTACTTACCTTGAACTTTCAGGATAAGGCTAGAAATTTGAATTGACTTTTCACGCCAAAGCCATAAAATCTCATGTGTGCATAATACAAACTTATTTTTTAAAAGGCCAAAATTGTTAAAAAAAGAAAGAAAGTGCTCTTAAAGAAAAAAAGACTGATAATAAATGTAGCCAAGTTCAACCAGTGCTTTGCAGGGCCTTCAAAAATGGAAAGTGGGCAGGGTTACAAGTCACAATGGGCTCATTGTGAATTGGACTCATTGTGAATTCTTCTCACTCTCCTTCCTCATCAGTCCAGCCAGCTCTGGCATCTGTCTCAGTGTCCTTTGTGCTGAACCTATTTGGTCTCTCCATCTCAGCTCTGATTGCTATCCTATTGTTCATTGCGGGTTTTGTTTTGCTTTCAAAGTCTCAAAAAAGGCAATTGGGCTCATTTTTTTCTAGTCCATAAAAACTATGATTTTGGGGTTGTAACTTTTAAAGTTCTTATCATTAGTAGTTCTCTTGCAAGTGTTCGAATATGGGTGTCCAATATGTGTAGTCTTGACTGGTCAATTTCCTTCTCTGTTTTGGCTGTCAAAGAGAGCAATGAAAAGAATAGGTATACTGCATAAAGGCTAATTTGTACATAGTTGCCAGAATGAATATCCTGGTTGTCCGTGGAACAGCATCAGTAAATGGAGAAATGCAGTGAAATATGTACATCCACTGGGTGTGGGGGGCGGATATCAACCCTTTAGCAATAGAAAAATGTACGTAAGTTTTATGGCTGAGCAGTAAACAGAGGGGGAAGTTTCATACCTGCATTAACTACTCCATTAACTACTCCATTACTACTCCAAACTTCTACATTAATTTCCAGTCCTTAATTTGTAAAAATTTTCCCTCCACTTCCAATCCATTGATTTTGCAAATATTTCTGTAAACACACAAAACTGTCAAGGAACCTTAGTAACTTAGTAACCTTAAATAAGGCCTCTCAAAAAGATCAACAAAAGAGGGGAGCAAATATCTCTTTTGCACCTCTACAGTAACTGCTTTGAAACAGGTACAACACAGAATCAATATCTCCCCTTTCTGAAGGAGCTGGAGACTCAGGACTCTGAGAAAACAACAGTTTTTAAGATCATCACATTAACAATTGGGAGATATTGTCTTCCAACCCTTTTTGTGAACCTTCATCACTTCCTCCTTTACAGATGCTTTTCAATTGACAGCTAGGCAAATGGTCACTGGCAAGTGTGCACAATACACAAAGTAGACTATATGCAGTCTCATATCGTCAATCTGTTACCTATTGCACTTTGCAACTCCCTTTGACAGCAGAAACAGACTAAATTGGACCAACAAGATTGTAAATTAATATTTTTGTTAAGTGTGTATTTTTGAAAGACCATCACTACTAACAAAATAATAAATGTATGAGCCCAATTGCACATTTTTGAGGCACCAAAAATAATTTTAAAAGCCAAGGAATAAGTTAAAATACTGTCAAAGTGCTATTTTGGCACAGGTGGAAGGGAAGTCACTACTTAAATCACAAAGACAAGTGGCAGTGCAGCCAATCACAGCAAACTAGGATAAAATCATGGATGATACAACAACCCATCATGGACAAACACAACCATGAAACTAGCAATAGGTTCTTGGGGTTGCTCGTTTGTGAAAAATATGCCACCCTGTCAAAACTGCACCAGATTCAGATGACAAGCCACTGTAGCTGGCTATCCATGGTGAACTGTGTCACACAAACCAACTCACTTTGTAATTGGCAACTTCTAATGGCCAAGCTATCAAGACTACAGTGCATTAATACTAACCAAGACTGGAATGCTGTCAACCTTGACAAAGTTCTTCTCTTATTGCCAGATTTCAATAAATAATGGAAGGAAAACATGTCAGTTGAAATATCAAAAAAAAAATTTTTTTTTGATATGATACTTAGGGGCGATACTTTCAGCTATGAGCTAAAATAGCTGCATTGCCTCCTAACCCATATACAGAAATAACTAGAAGGCTCAAAAACTTTTACTGCTGACACCTTTTTGGATCCTATATTGAAAGATAAATTGACACTAAAATAGCTACTTCTGGCCAGACTATCATCAACATAAACTATTCTCAGTTGTGCTATTAAAATCAGTGGCTCTTCTGAACCTCCCATCAAATTAATAGCATTATAACATGCATATGCAGGACAGTATTGGAGCTGTATGCAGGTTACACTCCCTGCACAAAGGAGAGCTAATGTTCCCAGAAGACTAGAAATGAGTGGAAACACTTATCTGTGGATCAGGACAGGTGAGCAGAGTTCCCTTATGTGAGGTCTGCTGGTCTGTCCCATTCCAGAAACTAATGCTTCCAGAAGCACAAAATCTTTGTTGCACAAGCTGAGGTTCTTTCTTGCAGAGGAGAACAGGTGTAACAAAACACCGTGCTAGATAATTCCCATTGCACATACATGTGCTTGGACCCATATTAGCAATTTAGTTCATGCAACAGGCCTTCTCTCTGCTGCAGCCATTAGAAAAACCACTGTAGAGGATTACTTTGGAACAGTAGCAGTGCACAGGAGCTGCAGTAGCAGGAGAAATCAGCAGGCCCTTGCCTCCTATTTCAGTAGTTATTTTCACTCATGCAAGTAGACTTTGAGAATGAAACCATGATGTTCTAGAACTTTGGGGCTCAATGGACAAAAATTATGAGAAGCATTTAAATACAATTATCCATTGTTGAGTGTTCTTTTTTAAGTTTCCAGTGCTATCAAAGTATTCAGTATGGAAAACTCGCATGAAGCATTAAAGCTGATATATTTACATGGAATTACAGCATAACGACAAGGTTTGTGATGTTGCTACGGTAGCTGCTCACACTACTTTACAAAGCACAGTACTCTGTTTTAATGTCTATCAGAGAGCAGCCCTATATTAGTGGGCTTCCCAGGTCCACATCTGATTTAAAGATAAAAGATTAAAAAAAAAAAAAAAAAGGAAGCCCAGGGACTTTGATGTTACCCACCAAAAGTTAGAATTTTGACAGGAAACAGTGGTCACCCAATCGCAGGCCTTGCATTCCCCACTACTGTGATACGTAGTTCTTTCTTTCTTTCTTGATTTATAACCTGCCTGTCTCCTTACATAGAACTTAAAGCGTCTTATATTACTCTCCCCCTACTGCTCTCAATCTTATTCCCACAACAGCGAACCTGTGAGGTAGGTTGGGCTGATAATCTGTAACTGACTCAAAGTCACCCAGTTGTCTCCTTGGCTGAGTGGGAACTAGAACACAGATCTCTTGCCTCCCAGTCCTGTGCTCTTGACCACTACACCACACTGGCTTTTTATTTACATAGCAGTAGTTATATTTCCATTTTTAACTACACATGTAAATCAGCACATGTACATTCTAGGCAAATCTGTTTCCCCTTTTTCTGGTGATGCATTTTGTCTTTTTGCAGATGCATAAGCAGCCATGCTAAAAGTTGCATGAACAGAGCCTTCACTATGCTCTTATCCTCTAGCATTCGAGGGTACTTTTTAATTCCCTTAATTCCACTTATTTATTTATTTATTTATAGCATTTGTATGCCATCCTATCGCATAGCCTTGGGATGGCTTACATAAATAAAAATAAAACATAATACAGATAAAAATCCAGATCCACCCTGGCTACATATTAAAACCTATAAACTGATATTAAAAGTTATTAAAATATCATTGAAATAAAACGGACTTAGCCTGGCGCCGAAAATCAAATAATGATGGCACCAGGCGGACATCTCTGGGGAGTGCATTCCATAGGCGGGGCGCCACCGCAGAGAAGGCCCTACTTTGCCTCCTAATGTCTTTCACAGAGTGTTCCCGGAGGAGGACCTCTGCTGCCGATCTCAGGGGGCGGGAGGGCAAATACTTCTTTCAGCTTCTGAAATAGTTCAAGAATTTAGTTTAAGTAGTTTAAAGAATGTTCTACTATTTACTTTGGGAAAGATTTTCAGAATGCACAGTGAGGAGGACCTCCAGATTTAGAACTTAGGTAGGTCAACATTCGGAGACCTCCTTAAGGCATATACCAGTGTTTATAACTGAAATATTTGAACAGTGAAAAGTCCCCT